CCCCAAAACCCCAAAACCCCAAAACCCCAAAACCCCAAAACCCCAAAACCCCAAAACCCCATCACATGCACTTGAAATAGAAAGTAAGTTGCCATAATATAATTTAATTTAAGTATGAGCGATCAGATGACTATTAAGCTAGAAGACACTATCATAACTGACGATATGTTAAATGAAATCAGAGAAGAAGATTATATTTACTACCATCTTCCCAAAGGAATAAAACCATGGTCCAAACTAAAGAGGTTCAGACCAGATGAGGACGTCAAAATTCTTCAGAGAGGAACAAAATATTGGCAGAGACTTATCTTCCCGGAAGATGAAGAATATTATGAGCAAGAAGAGAAGGCTTATCAAGCCTTCTTAAATTATGTTGAAAATAAAGACATAGATTTGCCTGATTTTATACAAAAATAGAGATGCTATGAGATTTCTTCAGGCTAATGACTATAAGCCAAAGCTTGCAGTAAAAGAACTGCAACAGAATTTAACATGGAGAGAAAAGCATCTACCTATAATTTTGACGGACGTTCAGAAAGAATTAATAGATAACGGATATTTATACACACATGGCCGTGATAAATTATTTAGACCTCTTGTTGTTCACAACCCTAAAGTATATAAGGCTTTCAAGCCTGATATAGATGAGGCTTTAATGGCATGTCATTTTGTGATGCACTACATTCGTGACAATATGATGATTCCAGGAATTATCGAAAATTGGGTGCCAATTATAGACTTAGCCAACATGAGTGTAAATGATATTCCTAAGAAAAGGGTGTTATCATTTATCAATAGCAACAAAATGGTGTATAAATGAAGAGCAACTAGGTGATTTATATTGAATTCTACTGCTGGACTCCGTTTACTGTACAGATTTTTCACTCCTTTCTTAGATGAAAGAGTTAAAAGTAAGTTGAAAATAGTAAAAGGGGGAAGTGACGAAGAACTCATTAGTTATTTTCATCCCTCTCAGCTAGAAGAGAGATTTGGAGGAGAAGCTGAAAATGTTGAAGATTATTGGCCTCCATATGAAGCATCAAAAGAATATGGAGAGGATCAGACAATGTTTACTATGGAAGGAGAAGAGAATAGTATAGCCGATGAAGAAAGCATAGCTTTCGAGACTGACAAAAGAGCAACCATGGGCAAATATAATATTGAGCCAGTTCTCGTTCCAGGGCATAAGAGGAGCAAGTCTTTGAAGCCAATAGAAATTGAAGCAGTAGATATTCAACTTGAAGAAAATAACACAGATCACTTAAAAGAAAACCACAAAGAGAATAGTACAAACGATAGGGTGCTCCATAGAAGAGGGTCAATTCCTAAAAAGGTCCAGAAAGCTAGAAATGGGTGATGAATTATATTCTAATATTATCTGTTAAGGAAATTTTAGTAAGTATCTTGTTTATTTTCCTTTGTTCGTTCATATTTTGTTTTTGATAAAATTTCAATATAATCTTTTTAACATGGGGTTTTGGGGTTTTGGGGTTTTGGGGTTTTGGGGTTTTGGGGTTTTGGGGTTTTGGGG